GCATGTGGACATAAACAGATTTGGAGAACAATTTTATGTCTTTCTTGAGAATTTAGGCAAACCAATATATTTTCATTGATGAAAATGAATTGGGAAATTAAAATGAGGAATGAACTCTCGTTGTGACGGTTGAATTTATGAAGATCGATCGTGTCATGACAAGCAGATGATCTGGTTTGTGTTGTCACTAGCCAGCCCATGGATGAAGAACAATTTTATCTCTTTCTTGAGAATTTAGGCAAACAAATATTTTCATTCAATGAATTGGGAAATGAAAACAAGGAGCAAACTCATTGTAAGTGTCGAAGTTATAAAAACAGATCCTGTAATTGCTGAGAAGGTGATCTGGTTTGTGTTGTTGTAGGATGTGGGTAGGTCCAAGAATGGAGAGATCATTTTATCTCTGCCTTGAGGAGGTGGGAGAATTAAAATTAATGATTAGAATAAATTATAACCTTCCACCTACATGATTTAAAAATTAGATTTGTCACAAAGACAGTTGGGCCGAGACCTGAGAGATGGGCTGAGGCTGAATCTAAGAAGGAAGGAGGAAGAGGGAGGATTTGGTCCTGACTGTGTGGAGTGGTGGTGTAAGATATGAAGTGAAGCAGGTTGGAGTTAGGAGAGGAGCAATTCTCATAACTACTCATGAGGAGGTGGATAATTCTCTAAATTTGGAAAGTTGATTAAGAAAGCAGAAACAAGAAACAAAGAACCCTTATTAGAATCAATATGGAAATTGAAGAATCAACAAATCCCAAGAACCCATCAGCCCCATGCCAGTTATGGGTTGAAGTGCATATAGGCAGAGGGTTTTGGAAGACTTTGGCTGAGAACCCACATCAAGTGCCTCTAGAATCCATGTCAGTTGCCACCAGATTTCTTGATTCTAAAGAACTTTGAGCCCTGAATTATTAGGTGAATCACAGTGTCACTATAGAGATTGATGCAGAAATGGTTAATTTTTATTGTACCAAGAGCTATCTAAACTACCTGAAGATTAACCCCATGAATCTTTCATTCAATTTTTTCATTACGAAGATATTTCTTCCTTAATGTAGCTTGAACCAGTGCTGGAATTACTATGATATTCAATCTTCCACTGGGCTGAGATCAAGAACACAACATGGGCAGAGTTGGTGTGGAGTTAGCCTTGTAGTTAAAACATTGTCCTACTACCATGAGAACAGGACCACTAAACCTGGTTACACCACCAGGTGTAGGCAATGGTAAAAGATTTTGTAGCAATATACATGTAGAATAAGTTAGCAATACTATGTTTACATTGAGTTGTTTTTTATGGGTGATTTCTGTCATCTGTCATTTTCTGTGGTAATGGCAATGGCCTGGGCCCAAAGGTGTATCTGATTAAAGAGGTCCAACTGTAGTGCAAGAGGAAAAAAAAAAAAAAAGCAGCAGCATATCAATTCTGTACAAAACAGAATAAAGCTCAGATAACAACAATCAATTTTGTATGATTTCTCTAACCATTGATTAGAATAAAATGAATATCAAATTCTGTAGATGTGAGCCTTACAATAGGACTACTTCACAACTAGAAAAGGGCATCAATCTATGTAAACCTACTATGATGACTCAGGGATAGCATAATCCCTGAATTATCATAGTAGTTGAGTCAAGAAGAGTCTACTTTTGAAGTACATGGTTGATGATTGTGAGGGTGGCTGGTTCACAAGCTTTTAAGAAAGTTTAAGACATATATAAGTGGCATTTACACTTTAAATGTGGTAAAATATCATTTAAGAACCAACCACAATCTGATAGAACTTTAATCCGAAAAGACAAAAATCTTTAAAATGTTCACCATGTAATGCATATAACTCATTGGGTACTTCTTGAGACATTGAGGCTTGTCTTGAGTTAATGCCACCAAATGCTAATAAAAGATTGAAAATTTAATTGTTCTGTAAAAGTGAAAAATCTTGCAGACATTGATAATATAATCTGTGAAACCAAAGACAAATTCACCCTGAAGTGCTCCAGAAACACAATTCCCAGAGAAAAGAAAAAACATTGAGACAAGTGCTTCAAGTCAAGAGGGGGTGTACTTTGAGGGGAACTAGAGCTTTAAGTTATATAACCTAATAAAACATTTTTAAAATGTTTAGTTATTGTTTAGTATCCTTCATACTGAATGAAATGTAGTATAAATCTTTAAATTAAATCATGAAAATATATATAAGATGTAAGAATTAAAAAAATATAATTCAAACATCTTATCAATTAAATTCAGTTTATAGATAAAAAGGTAGAAAATATTAAAATTTTGACAGAAAAAGATCTCTCAAAACACAACATGACTTTCCTTAAAGTAGAAAATTGCTCACTGAAAAAACAACATAGCATGCTGAAAAAAAGGTCCCAAACTTAAAAAAAAATTTTATCATCAAAATGTTTATGTTGTTATTAAGAGGAAAGACCAAAGTATTTTTATTAGTTTATTAAATTTTTTAATCCTTTCTACTAGCACATTCAAAATTTTTGGTTAATTTTTTTTTTTTTTTTACATAGGCAGTTGATATAATATTTACGAGTAGTGTTTTAGCTCCCTTTTTTCTTTCAGGACTTATTCACAAATGAACTAAATTATTTTTCAATTTTTTTTTCTTTTTAAGAAAAATCTTGTTTATTTATATATATATATATATATATATATATATAGTAATTAGTAGGAGGATTTGATAATGATATTTAATTAATTCATCGAGTCTGATAGGAACCTCTACAGAATGCAGGAAGCACTGGACGGCCATTTCGTCCTATATTTGGGACTCATCAGCAGTGCGCATCCACTACCGAGTATCGAACACTGACAGTTGGGTTGTCAAGCGAACACCATACCAACTGTTCCAAATGGGCCTCGGTGACGAAGAGATTCCAAATCGGAATCTCTTCGTCATTGAATGTAGATCAATATATCTTTTTTTTCAAACTACAACTTTCATTTCCTGAAAATCTGCTCTGAATCTTAAAATAAAAGATGCAATAAAAGTATGACATTATTTAATTAGAAAAGCTTTTAATTGCTTTTATAAATAAGATTTATTAAGGATACTATTGTCTTAAGAAAAAAATTTTTCTATGAAATTTCACAAGAATTGTTTTCATTTTTTAAAATTTTAATTATATTATAAATCATTTAAAATTCTGCATTATTTCAATCCAGTTAGGTGATATTGTTGTTAAATGAAAACTATATTTATAAATCAAAAATTGAAAAGCCCAATAAAAGTTGTTTATCCCAATTTTTTTTTTTAAATTAAAAAACTTTTTCTTAAATTATGTTTTAACAGATAAAGTCTCTATAGAACAACAGTAAAGGTGTTGACAGATTTTATCATCATTTGTTAAGTGATAAATAAGTGACAAATGATGGTAATAAGTATGTAATCACCAAACTGTTTTAAAAATCCATTTCTCTCTTATTTTAAACTTAAAGTAAATAATATTTTTTTCAAATCATATTAATTATACTTTAAATCAGCTAATATTCCAAAAATAAAGTTTCAGTAAAGTATATTTTTGGAAGATTTTTAAAACCGAGAATTAACTTTTGTTTATAAATGTGTCAAAGATGGTCAATTTTGTGAAAGTGACCAAAAAGTTGAGATTCCAATCAATATAATTTCAATTTCAAATACATCAGAGTATTTTACTTACTGGAAATAGTAAATTTAATCAATTGGCTTTCAAGAAAAGCTAAAATTTAATGGTTTGGAATTGTGATACACATACAGGTAAATGGTCCAAAATCAGAGAGGTCCACAGCATCAGACCATGTTCCAGTCTTGTGTCAATTAGTACAATAGTTCGAACAAAGCCCAAGGACTTCATTATTTTCTGTTGGGACTCAAAGTAGTGGGGTGGCCTGTTCCTTCTTTCATGATGACATCTGAGATGGATTTGTTTTTGAAGTTACCATCATCTAGCCTTTACCTACAGAGGCAGGAACTACAAGACAGCAGGGTGGTTTGAATTAAAAGTTTCTCCTTTCAGTCTTACTATTTTACCTATAGCTGGGGGGGGAGAAGAGGTAGACTCATACATTTTCCAAGAGCATTACAACATAAGTGAATGTAATGAGAATGCTTTTTCCTTTTTAAAAATTCAGTGGAGGTGCCTATCTTAAGGTGACATTGAACATTTCTATTTAACTGTAGAAACAGTATTTCTGAGACGCAAAACAAGGCTGGGTTTTAATAGGTTTTGCTTTGAACACATGCCTAGCCAAGTGATAAAAAATGGTGTAATTGTATCTTTTTTCTTTTTCTTTTTGGCAAAAAACCAAAGTTGCAATATGAGTAGAAAAATAACATCACAAAATACATACTTGTAAGAAGGGGAAAAAAAAAGAGATAAAAGATGAAAGAAAAACTAAACAGAGAGAACCACTACAAGGAAATAAAAGAGAGAGAAATAATTTGTAGAATACTAAAAGAGGAAGGGAATGAGCATTTTTGAGTAGTGCCAACCAACCAAGGCAAGGAGACAGCCCATCTGGACAGTGGAACCCAAATGAGGCAAGGGGACAGCTCATTTGGGCAGTGCAACCCAAGTGAGGCAAGGAGACAACTGATTTGGGCAATGCCGACCGAAAGGAAGAGACAGCTTGTCTGTGCAATATTAATTATGGGTGAGAGAGATCATTTGAAGAATATTAAATATAAAGTTAAATATTACCCTAAACTGAAAAGAAAAAAATGGTTTTAAAATATGCCTGATGAGAAAAATTAAAATGAATCTCAGTAAAGATTGAGTGATTCATGTTCTACAGCTTATCAACCCTTTGCAGGTTATTTAAAGCCAGAAAATATTTTGAGATTTTAAGAATTTTTTATTTTGAGATAATAAATATTCAGTGATACAAGTAGTCTTACTAATTAACCCATAGCTGGGAAGGGAGAGGAGGTAGATTCATACCTTTCACAAGGGTATTTGCACATGAGTGAATTATTCATTACACCACCTGCACATCCAAGCTTACATCACCTGATATTCCCAAGTGGTCACCCATCTAGGTAGTGACCAGGCCCAACATTGATTAACTTCGGTGATCATACAGGGGGAACCAATGTTTCAATGTGATCATAAAAGCAAGTTTTTAAAAGAGAAAAGAAAAACTATCAGAATGTAAGCTATAGGAGGAAAAGAGTTAAATTCTAAAAATAACAAAAATTGAAAATCCAGAATGATTTAAGAGAAAATTATCTTGGGTCAAATATTCTCTTATTTACATTTTCCAGTCACCAAGAAACCTACAGAAGTGGAAAGTTGCCAGTACTTGATTGTCACTGAAAATGTTCAAGAGGTATCTTTTCTTTGAAAGTAAACATCAATAAGTACATCTTGAGATTTATATATTTCCATATAAACACTGAGTGAGACTTATTTAGATACAATTATGGCAAAAATTCTTAGGTAAAATCCACTCAGCTGCAGTAAACACAGAGAAAATGGAAACTGGTATTTATAATAGAAATATTTAAATAATTTTGCAATTGCATTTGTTATATTTATGCAAGAGTTATCTTGGATTTTTATCTCTACAATTAATTATTGATACATCTAAGATGGCTTTTTAGAATCACTAAAATGAAAATATCCCAAAAATGTTAACACAAAACAAGTATTTTTTTTAATCATTTCACCCAAGGCAAGGCAATACAGCCACTAAAATGCAAGGGGTTACCAAGTATGAAAGAATATGAAAAAAAGTAAAACTTTATTAAGGAGAGAGAACAATGAAAGGACAGGAATTAAGACAAGATAACAATGGACATTGATCTTCAAAAATTTAAATGCAAAGTTACCTAGAAAGCAAGAAGCTGGAAAAGAGTTGTACAAGCAAGAAATGCAAGAGAAGAAACTATTATCATAGAACTTACAGTATTATATATCTGATCTCTATTTACTTATATTTGTTTATTAGCATAGAACAGGGTTTCTTAACCTTTTTTCTCCAGCATGCCTTTTCAAATATTTGTGTCAGATACATGGGGCTCCCATGATAAAATTGCACTTGTAAATGAAGTCTGAGTGAATATCACAAGTTTACACTTTGTTGTATTATAAAAGTATCATCACTAAAAGCAAGTTCCTAAATAACTGATGTTGTATATAATAATATGAGCCCAGGCTTCCAAAATTGGCATTTAGAATTTACACAAAAAAGCAGCATACTGTATTGTGATCTGACTAGTAAAAAATACAACAACGGTTTGGTTTGGCTGATCTTGTTTAGCAGCATATCAACCTCTATTGGTTATTTAATGCTGAAATCTAAATATTTTGAACACAATTGTATGCCTTCAACTACAGATAAAATGTATTGCTGATAATTTTTTTTATATAAATTATTGCTAGTATTTTTATACTTTCATAGTGTTTTGTTTGGGGGTTCCCTATTTGCCCATAGCTGGGACCCTAACAGGTACTACCACCCTGAGTCAGGATGGAACTCAGAACTGCAATTAAGAGGTGGTTCCACGCTCCTCAAAACCTCCAATCTTCCGATCAGAGGACTTGCTGCCAGATGTAGTTTATCATCATACTGTGGACTATATTGCAAAAGTGGAAACTTATTTTTCTTAAAACCCTTATTTGTTTTTATTCATAAGAACTTTAATATATATTGATTTCAATCACCATGAGAATGACTGCAAAACACTTTTCCCATTTTATAGGCAGAAGTACACAAATGCATAGATTTTTTCCTAACCATTAAAATAGGCCAGTTCCATCTGACTCAGTCCCAGTCTGTCTTGTCTTGAAGTCAGAATGCTACATTCACTTGTCCAAACTTGCTCTTGTGTGTCAACTCCAATCCTTAGTTTGTGAACTTTTTTGTTATATGTCTGTTAATTTGCCTTGCATATATTGTTTGCCTGCTTTATATTATTTTTTGCCCTGCTCTTTTCTTTTTTTCTTGGAATTGTTTATTACAAGCTTTGTCAAATCCATTTTGCCATTCATTTACTTTACATTTAAGTATGGCTATTCACTCCACAATATAAAATTACAAATTTTAATTTTTTATCAGATTTACAAATTTGGGAGGATCCCTAAAAAAGATTCTATGATTAAAAATCTTGACATATTGAGAAACTAAGTAAAATTCTATATAGAATAGAATTCATAATGAAAATAAACCACATGAAAAATCAATGATAACTTTTAAAGATATTTGTTCCTGTTAAATGCATATAAACTATGGATCAATCTGATTGCTAAAGCATTCCAACTGACACAATGGTTAGCTATTTCATATTGTTCCAACATTTGATCTTGCCAAATTATTCCTAATATTTAACAATATATTACAGCAGCAAACATCTCCATTCAAATGGAATCTAGGATCAAAACTTTCAAAAATATTTGCTCGACAATAGACAAATATCTTGTTGCAAAAATGAAATCCTATCAAAAATTTTAGCATTCTTCTCTCACTGGATGAATTATTTTTCTCTTTTAATGCATTTTTTCTTTGATTCAATTTAGGCACAGATTTGAATTTACATATTTATTATAGATCACATAGAATGTCAATGTTCAATCAAGGTCAACTGCATGGTGACTGACAATTTCACACCTGAACTTCTCTTCAGACCCTGTGTCACCACTAATTTAGCAGGCTCTATATGTATGGGAAAGGAGGCAACCAGTCCTTCCCAACTCTTGTTTAGGTCTAATGCTTATAATCATGACATTTAGGCTGGTTATTTTATTTATTATTTTATTCATTTATATATCTATAAAAACTATTTCACATACAGTAAATTCTAAAATATATATTATATAAATAAAGGAGAGATGTATGTCCAGAAAACATCCAGATAATTTTTAAAATCTCAGGAACAAGTTGTGCAGCTTTGGTGTAACTTAATAAACAGAAGGAATCAGTTAATATACATTGAGTTTTGTTTCAAATTTGAGCATTTATCTGTGGAAATTATTAGAATGACTAAGAAGGTTTTCACAAAGTGAGTAAAGTCCAAATAATGCTTCAAATTGGCCTGGGAATCTGTTGAAAGAGAGCCATGTCCTTTAAAGCCTCCAAGAAGCAGAACACTTGAAAATGTTGAATACGTGTGTACTGGTATCAAAAGAAATTTGTAACTGACAATAGAAGATCTAAAAATTCCATTGACAAGTCAAAGTAACTCGTCATTCTGAATATCTTGATTGCCCATTCTTCACATCTTATGCATAATTTTTTTTTATAGAAAATATTACATCATTCAGGTTTCTAAGTCCCTTTATAATAAAGGGATTTAACTAAGGTATCATTGTCTTAAGTAGGACACTTATTGTCAACATTACAGTTTAAGGTTTCATTCAACAAACAATTGTCGTTATTGACAATGGATATAATATCAACTATCTCAGATTTGTGCATCATTTCACAATGAAAGAGAAAAAAATAAGCTGTACTACTAATTAGCACAGTGAATGGGTTCAAGACATCAATAAATCTCAAATCAATTTTTACTGAGCTTAACTTTAATTCCTACCATCAATAAACTGTAAAGAAAATGCCTACAGAAAGGTGAAAAAGATTTCACACCTAAAAAAATAACAAAACTATTATATTAAACTCAACCAGTTATCTCTTCTTATCATTCCCTTTCATCTCATGACTGTTGCTTCCAGGATAGAATTTTTGATAGTATAAATAAGGCCCTCTCTCTCTATATTTTTCTGCAAATATCTTTGTGTTCATAGACTTCAATGTCCATCTGTTCAAGCAGCTTCATCACTAATACCACTGACCTCCCAGACATCCAGACTTTGAACTCTCTGATCATGCTGGCATCCTATCACTCAATCTCTCTCTCAAATAGTAAACTTCTCTCTGATCATGCTGGCATCCTATCACTCAATCTCTCTCTCAAATAGTAAACTTCTCTGCACATTTCCCTAGTAATTCTGATGAACAGGTTTCTCTACTTGATCTCTTCCTTACCTCCACCCACACTAATGTCATGCTCTGCAGCTCTGTCCTCTTGACAAGAATCCCTATTAACAGGACATCTGTTATCAACAAACTGATGAGGACTCACTTTTTGAATTTCTTCATGATGCCCCTTTGAATTATATTTTTAATAATCCTGTTGAGAAATGTACCACTGAGATCTCTTTACAGTTGGTCGGTTTGGCAATTTCTGTTTCGGTATTGGTTTCTGTTTTTTTTTTCCCTTGATACCACGGTTTTCGATTAGGTTTTTCGGTTTTTCAATTTGGTATTTTCGCTTTCTAAGAAAGCCATTCATTTTCTTGTGCAATGATATTATTTCCTGATTTTGTTTGACATTGATAAATTTGCAACTCATAAACTCATGTATTTCTGGTCCAATCTTAAAAATATTCATATGACTGGAAAGAAAATAAAATGATCTTTCTAAATATTTAATTTGTATGTGCTTTTATTCATTGAACTATATTTTTACACCAAGTTAAAACAGCATTTTGCTTCGAACAGCTGAAAATGTGAAAAATATGATTTTTTTTAGATTAAATTTTATATGTTACTTTGTTTCATAAAATCAATGTGACCAATCTTTATTAATATTCTTGAATTTAATTTAGAAGACACCTTAAGCTACAATCAGGAAGATGTTTATTTCTTCTCTGACCTGTGAAAGCAAATTCCTTCAAAAATTATAAAGTAAGCAGCAAGAAAAAGATTAACTGATAGCATATGTGGTAAAAGAACTTTCAAATTATTGAAACTACTGTCTTGTTGCGTAAAATAAACACCCCATATACTGTTCAACTTTAAAGTAATGTTTTTTGAAATGTCTGTCATTGTGGAAGTCTGTTAACTGGTGCGTAGGGGGTCAATATTTAGTTTTAAAGGATAATAAAAATTTATAGACATGCGTTAAAGATGACTGGAATTGAAAACCCGAAAACTGCAAATCAGGGTGGGTAATAAAGTAGGAATTGTTCACCTAAAGTCAATTTTTAGGCTTTAAAGGTAATTTAGTTATAGAATTCATGACTTGGATTTAAAGTTTAAACTTTTGAATAAATAACTACCATATTTATTAACAAATTGGTAAAATACAAAAGAAATCGGCAC